ACATGAAATCGGCATTTACTACAACGTAGTAAGTACTATATACAGTATGTAGTTCTGCAGTTTTCAAATTCACTCTACGCCAGAATATTTCGTAATACTACGTAGTACTAGTACTTCCAAGTATATGGTGTGGTACGTGGTAGTACTTGTAGTAGCCATCTAATATAAGCAATGATTGCACTTTCACGAGACTTCAACATTACAGGTAGTATTTGTTGAAGTCAAAACAACAACACCGCACTGCACCCATTATATATAGAAAGGACTTGTTCATCGTCCAATTCTCTCATTAACAGGAAGTGGAGTGGACAACCTTACTTTACAGTACTTCTGTGCGCACTTTCTGCCCTTTCTCAAAGTCTACAGTACAGTAGTGCAGGCAGATGGTTTCGGTAGAGTTGGTGACATTTGGAAAGTATGGTTGCACAACTTCCTTAAATCAAAATTCCGGATAACTATCCGGTTGCCCATGCAGTGGCCGTGAATCCGGATAATGTTCCGCATTTCGGCTCCATTGTCAATGCAAAAGCCATTCAAAACATGTTACTTCAAGGAATATAGCTATCTAACTACTAGTAGCAGCTACTTCCGTTGGCGAAGGTTCTTGCTTCGATCCTCTGCAGCCCAATCTTCTTATGCTAGCTTGATTAATAAGCTTGTTGGATCTTGCACGCTCTTTCGTTTTCCTACTTGTTGTTCAGAATCAATAAAGGATCAGTACCAAAATTCATAAAATCAGTGAAGCTGCAACTATCTATATACGTAGTAATTCTTAAGAATACAGAATATAAACAGTTACGAACTCATTGGCTACAAAAAATGAGAAAAACTAATTGGCATAAATAAATTCAACAATTATGCTTTCTGGTAGTAATTGTGGTCACATGAACTTCAACAGTACAATTCAGTATAAGTCCTCAATCAAATTGAAAGTTTCCTGGCGTTTGACCGTGCTGTTTGCGTGTGTGGATGGACATACAATCATCTTTGAGGCACATCACAAGATCACTCTTGTTCTACTTCACGTCTTCCTCCATGCCATGCGCTTTCTTCTCGATGCCCGCTGCGTCATCCACCATATTGAACAGCAAAATAGCACCCAGAATGTGTACATCCGTTTACAATGAGAAGAGCTGTAACCATTAACTCAGTTCAGTCGTCTGATTGGTCACAAAGTTGGTTATTCTTTGACGATCAGTGTTGTACCCACCCGCGATATGTCCGGTCATTTAACTGCTTCTTTTCTACCCGCCAATTGTCCGCCTGCGTATTTTATTTACATAACACTCTCATGACTACCCTACATTTGACAGGTTAAATCACAGCTTGCTTGTTATCCTTTTATTTGCAGGTCAAGTGACCCTTCAATCCAAAGCTATATTTCCAACCCTCCAATCAACATGGTAAGTGACACTACTATGCAACATTAATATTCAAATTGGTCTAACTACGCATTCCTCGCGACTTCTTTCGTTTCTTCGGCTTGGGGCCAGGCTTGGATGATTGATCCGAACCAAGCAAGGCTTGTGGCGCTTGGGACGACGTGTCACGCACCAAGTCCAAAGGTGCAACAGGCGTCAAAAAGGCACTGTAAATCGACTTGTAGTTGCTGCGCGAGGAGTATTTGCTATAAAACGTCAATGGGTCTTGTTGGACGCTATTAAAGCACGCCACTGCATGAATGCACGGTTTTCTGTGGTCAAGCCACATTTTGCAATCACACGTCCTCAAGACCACGTCCACGCGTCTCCACATGTGGGAAATGGCGAAGCGGCTTACAGCACAGGCAGCATTGTTGTATAACGCCATGAACTCTCGTCCACGTTTGCTCACAAGCAGCTATTGTTAGTGAAAACGCGTTAGTGAAAATTCATGAAAAGTAATTACTTACAGTGATTGAATGCGCTGCAAGACTTGTCTTGCTGTATTCTCTCAATTGATAGGGAGTAATTCCCTCGGGTGTCCAGGTCATTGCATTCTCCCTGCGTACAAATAAGTGCACGAAATATATATGATGTAGTACGCGTGTAATACCTGCGGGCATTCAGATTAACAAGCAAATGCAGGAGATACTTGAAGTGCAGTTGTACAGCGTTGGAGGACCGTAGGTCCACGCCAAGCCACTTGTTCGCGGACTCTCCGAGGTTTGACGTGACGTTGTTATACATTGGCTTCGAAAACGCGTACGTAACCCAGTTTGCCCTCGGAAGGTTGTTTTCATTCGTTAGGTACCTCAATGCACCTATTCGAAACCATTTAGCTAAAGCCACACGAAAAATAACCATGGATTTAGCAGATCAAAGTCCAATTAACTGTAAGTTGACAATGAATTATGATTAATGATTTGACACGCCAATATCCAGGTAAATTCATTTGACTGGCAGGTCAAACACTTCGTTAATGATAATGTGATTGGCAGGTCAAACACTTGGTATTTACACTACCTGCGTTGACCTCCAACATCTTCTGGCCAAGCAGCGCAAAGGTGTCCGATGAATCAGACCGAGCCATTCGGTACGCAAGCCCCTCTTCAGCTTGGGTAAGCCAAAGCCCCTTGGTGCTTCTGACGTTGGCGATGATCTGTTGCATGCAAAAACGATGGGGACTTTGCGGACACACAGTGTTGCAAGCATATATGAGTCCTAATTTTTTAGTCAGCAAGTAGATGTATACATTCATCCACCTTTTTGTCTGTCAGTCAATATGACAGGATTTTTGTCCATGATGCCAGCAGCTTTGACATGGTTTAGGAACCACGTCCAGTTGGATCCATCTTCAACGGGGACGATTGCAAGAGCTATGTGGTACAAGGTACACGTCATGTGAGTAATATTTAAGTTTGTAATGCTACCCAGTATGATGAGCTCGTTGTTTGGATCCTTCGTTGTTGCAAGCAACAGCACACCGTTTGTGTTCATGACGTCTTTAAGGTGCGTGCCTATTGACCAATTAGTACAAATGTAACCGTATAAGTGGAAAAAATTGTACCGTCGAGTGCGATTACTTCTTGACACAATTTCGCCGCACTAATGCAAAATTGGGGGATCAATATGCTACGGTAGAAATAGCTCCCGCTTTTTTCTACTTTCGCATATGTCCCAGGATTATGCTCGACAACCTTGGCAAAATAGCCCTCCAGCTTTTCGAACGAAACGTCCACGTCGCCGTAGAGCATCTGGACAAGCGTCATTTTCGCTTTGCTGGCGGCCGATGTCGATATGTCTTGGCCGTACTTTGCCTTCACAATGCGGCAAATTTCTTGACCTGAAATGCTTCTTGGGTCTGTCGTCGATGCCGGACATATTTCTTGAACAGCTTGCGTTATCTACGTGCATGCGTTGTAGAAACCGCAAAGATCAAAACCAGAACAGAATATACGCAGAACACTAAGTATATTACTGTCAAGTGTTAACAATTAACAGTGAATAGACCAAGATTAAAAGAAATATGCGATAAAATACTACTGACCATACGATTCGCCAATACATTGGATAACACAATGATTTGTCAGTTACACGGTATGTGGAAAGAATATATGACCGGTCATAAACATGGTTAGCGTAACAACTCGCCAAACATAAGTTAACTGTACTAGTAAATGTAACGACCCACCAAACGTGGGTCAACATTATGACCCGCCAAAAAATCAGGATGACCTGCTAAATACAGGAAAGTAGCAATTATTTGTAAGCATATATAAAACAAATGAATAGCTTGTACGACGTAGTGCGATTAATCTAAATATAAGTCAACTACTTGTATGATTAACCTTACCAAGTCGTGTAGAATGCCTTGATGACGCCGACGCCGTTTGTCGTGCCGAAGGGCGTGGTTGTGGGCCAAGTTCATCGATGAGACGCGCTTGATCGTCGGCGTGTCTTGATGCTCGTAGACAGAAACAACATCCGGCGTGTTTGAAGCCCCATGCTCCTGACTTGGTAGAGCGCCGCTCTTACTGAAGTTATGGGCTAAGGCTAGGCTATTCAGACACTTACGTAGGTTAACGAATGTACAGAAGTCATTGTCAATGATTGCGTTGAGCTGTACACATGTTATGTACTTAGGGACCACTGTTGGAGGCATGGTGAACCGCAGAGTCACGGCCATCGCCAGGTAGTCTTCGATGATGTATTGGTGGCCCGTCATTGCGCAATGGACAATGGTTATGCATTTTTGTTCTGTGTATCGGTCGTTGTATACATTATGACTAAGTGAGTGATTTATCATTAAATATATCAAAATAGTGACTTTCAGACGGACCAAATGTTCCGCGACCGAGTCACGGAAGAATAAACTGTACGTGTGTTTTACAATAACGAGTTGTACAAGATGAGAAAGGTGCAATATACTGAAACAAGCAAAAAAGAAAGTCTGGCCATTTAACATGGGTACACTTTACTACTTCGAAGTCGTTTGATGTAAAACGACATTTATTGATATTGATCAAAATACGGTTAACGTTAGAAAAAGTAAACGATGAACACACGAGGATAGATTGTATACCGTTTACGCTTTGGGCGCAGTCTGTACCCATGTTTTTACCAGGCTCAAAACCGTTCATTTCAGTATTTTGGAGATTTCTCGAAAACCCCATCACTTTTTGTGAATTCTGTCAGTGGCACTGTTGTTCAAACGGCGTTTAATTGGACAAAAATGAGAAATTCTACAGGGGAAAAACAGCGTACGCGCAAGCCG